ATTGAAACCTTTTCTGTTTGGGGAATGCTATGTTTTATATTCCATTAGTTATACAAATAGAAAATGTCTGTATACTTATCTCTCATCTTACAGCCAGGCATGCCTTAAGAGTCCATACAGTCTCAGATTATTTACAAAACGCAATTAAGGCAGATCAGGTATTTCCTGACATTTTGAAACAAGGGACTCTTTTTTTTTTATAAACAAGGGACTCTTATCTGTTTGCTTGGAGGTCTGGTATCAAGCTGGGAATCCCTAGCTGAAGGAGTGAGCCACAGGCTGTCTGTTAACTGTTTCATCCCCATTCCAGTTTCAATACATTCAGACCTGCTTTATTATTTTAATGACTGATTTCTTTTTTTAAAAAAAATATTTTTATTGCTTTCAGAGATGAAAGGAGACAGAGAAATAGAAACATCAATGATGAGAGAGAATCATTGGTTGGCTGCCTCCTGCATGCCCCACACTGGGGACCATGTGTGCAACCCAGGCATGTGCCCTGACTGGGAATGGAACTGTGACCTTCTAGTTCATAGGTTGACACTCAACCACTAAGCCATGCTGGCTGGCCATGACTGATTGCTTTTGATAGTTCCATTTTTCCAGGAGTTTTGTTATTAAAAACACAGCAGCAAATATTCTTGTGTGCCCTTTTACAAATATTTCTTTAGGAGAGACATTCAGAAGTAGATATTCTGGGTAAAAAATGTTAATTTAATATATTGGAGCCCTGGCCCGGTAGCTCTGTTGGTTAGAGCACCATCCCCATACACCAAGGTTGTAAGTTCTATCCCCGGTCAGGGCACTTACAAGAAGCAACCAATGAATGCATAAATGGATAGAACAACAAATCTATGTTTCTCTATCTTTCTCTCTCTTCCTCCTTCCCTCCCTCCCCCCTTTTCTCCTTTCCTTTCTCTCGCAAATCAAACAATAAATAAAAATTTAAAAATAAATTCTAATATATTGGTAGATATTGCTATGTTGCTTTTTAAAAAATTGCATAGATTGATATTCTCACTTGTTTTTTCCATGACATTGAGAATACAGGCTATTATTAGTTTCTGAAAATGCCAAAATGACAGACCTAGCTGACTTGGCTCAGTGGATAGAGCATTGGCCTGCAAACTGAAGGGTCCCGGGTTTGATTCCAGTTAGGGGCACATGCCTGGGTTGCTGGTTTGATCCCTAGTAGGGGGTATGCAGGAGGCACCAATCAATGACTCTGATCATTGATGTTTCTATCTCCCCTCTCCCTTCCTCTTTGTAATCAATAAAAAATGTATTAATTCGTGCACTTGGGGTAGGGGGTCCCCCAGCCTGGCCTGTGCCCTCTCACAGTGTGGGAGCCCCGCGATTGATCACTCCAAAGAGGTGGGCCCCACCCAGACCCCACCCACCCATCTGGGGCTCCTTCATGGATTGCCCCAAAGAGGTAGGCTGGAGCCAGGAGCCCCGCCTCTTCGTCGCACAGGGCCTTGGGAACCCCCGTGGAAGCTGTGGCCACCAGGCCCTGCCTCCACTGTGCACGCAGTCATCTTGTGATGGTGTGAGGGCATCATGGCATGATGGCAGGAGGACCACCTAGGCTTTTATTAGTAAGACTAATGGCCTGGTGCATGAAATTCATGCACATTGATCACTCCAAAGAGGTGGGCCCCACCCAGACCCCACCCACCCATCTGGGGCTCCTTCATGGATTGCCCCAAAGAGGTAGGCTGGAGCCAGGAGCCCCGCCTCTTCGTCGCACAGGGCCTTGGGAACCCCCGTGGAAGCTGTGGCCACCAGGCCCTGCCTCCACTGTGCACGCAGTCATCTTGTGATGGTGTGAGGGCATCATGGCATGATGGCAGGAGGACCACCTAGGCTTTTATTAGTAAGACTAATGGCCTGGTGCATGAAATTCATGCACATCAAAAGGGAATTAATTAGAGGAAATATTTTAATATTGCTATTTGCCCTTTATAATAGAAGTGTCAGAGATTAAAAAAAATTAGTGAAATGTATATGAAAATCTCCCCCCTGTCAGAGTCTGGGGCGCACTGCGGGACCTAGAGTCAAGTCCCACCTGCACACACCTCGAAATCGCGCGAGATCCAGACCCAGCCGGCCCCACCCGTGTGGAGCCCCACAGAGTGGGGGGCGCAGCCTCAGGTTCCCTGTCAAGCCCCGCAGGGGAGGGGGTGTGGCCTCAGGTTCCCTGGCCTGGCCTCAGGTCCCCCGGCATGACAGCGTGATGACCATTTGCATATTAGCTCTATTATATAGGATAAAAAGAAAAGCCAAAATGACAGTAAAAAATAGCATGTCATAGTTTTGGCTTGCATTCTTTGATTTAAAGAGGTTGGTGTATAAATGATCACAAAGCTGCTCTTGTCAATCCCCTCGGGCTGGACGATCTATAGAGAAGGACCGTGCCCTTCTGTTATTCAGTTACCTGTCACTGGGCAGTTGTGAGGGCTGCACAGTGGAGATACTGAGCACATCAGAAGTGTTTCTGTGATGCTCTGTCCAGCAGTTCTTTTGGTAGTTCTCATTCGATTCAGTGAGCTTCTGGGTGGAATGCATAGGCCAGGCCTTTTATCAAGGCCAATAAATACAGATTTATTTATTTATTTATTTATTTATTTATTATTGATTTGAGAGAGAGAGAAAGGGAGAGGGAGAGAGAGAAAGACGGATGTGAGAGTGAAATATGGATTGGCTGCCTCCTGCATGCCCCCTACTGGTTATCATGCCTGAAACTCCAGCATGTGCCCTGACCAGGAATCTAACCAGCAACCTTTCAGTGCCTGGTAGTATGCCTAACCAACTGAGCCACATTGGTGTCCCTTACTGATTTTAACTATGTTTTCTTACTTAGTGACCTTGAATTAGAAGATAAAGATCTCATTCAGCAAAGTGTACTGATTTAAGAAAATTTTGACTGTATAATACTCACATTACTTTGGTGACTCATTACAACAGTGTCCATGAGTGAAAATGACCCCTGCGAAAGTGCCACTTTGGTCATAGTGTTGCCGGTGGAAATAGGGTCCTTTCACAGAGTCATAATGAAAGCATTTCAGGGACCCATGTATGGGAGGATGAGGTGTAGGGGTAAGGTTTATTGTGGGAGCAAAATCAAAGGGCTGTTCCGGTTCAGCTTTGTTCTGCTGTGAAAGGAGCCCAGCCTTGTCTTCATCAGGCACAGAACAAAGGCCAATGTCTAGAAATTCTGTGCCAGTGGTTCAGTCCAGTTCAGGACCTGTCCTTGTCTGGCTGGCTTAGTCTAGCTTCCCAGCTGCATCCCCGTTGCTGCACCCAGGCTTGCGCTTGGAGTTTGGGTAGCTCCTGGCTGTGTGGCTGCTAGGGCCCATGGCTGATAGAGAGAGAGAACACTGTGAGAGCTGGGGTGGGCACGTGGGGCAAGCCAGAGAGAGAAACAGAGACACAGAGAGGGAGGGAGCAAGCGAGCCTTTGTTGGACTGATCATATTTTTCGGGTTAAAAAGGACCAAGTACCTTTCAAACTAACCAACCAACTTCCCAATCTTTTGCGGGCTTCTGATGGGTCTTCCCTCTAACCAATCCATTTCCTAGATCTTCCCAGGGGTTCTTTGTCCATTATCCAATCTGATCCCTTCCCCAGGCTAGATAGACAGGCGTTTATGGTCGTCTTCTTGGCTCCTACTGTGCACACCCGCTGTAGTTAGAAGCACCTCCCCCTTTATTGTTTATTTCTTCCTCCCATAGTCTGGGCAAAGGGACAGGTTGTATCCTGGGGTGATTGGAAATTTGGTTCTTCCTCCCTACACAGGGGAGGGATGGGTGTTAACCCCCTTAGTGGGGAAATTCTGTAATCCCCTGCGGTGCCTATGAATGCTGCAATTTCCTAGCGAAGCAGCCCCACTTCTGATTCCGCTCCCCAAGTCCACCAGGATCAGCAATGTCTGATTCCTTCCTCCCTCCCTTTATGAATATCTAGCTATCTACGCTAACAAAAGTAAAGGGTTTGCTAGCTTTTTGCATTTCAATTATATTACATTTTAGGCTAGCTTGAGCTAATCACTGGATTTAATAAACATTATTTAGATGACTGGTAAGAGTCTGGGATCATTGTGCATGTTCGAGATTTTTTTTTTCCAAATCTCTATAATTTTCTCAATCCCTTAATTTGGATGTTCTTTTCCAGTCCAGCATCCTTTTTCAGAAATCAACTTTCTTAAAGTATAATTTACATAAAATAAAACGTACCAATTTAAAATATATACTTTAGTGTATTTTTGACAGACATATACATCTGTGTGAACAGTACCCCATTCAAAACAGAACATTTTCATCACCCCTAAAAGCTTCCTCAAATTTCCTCCCAGTCAACTCCTTTCCACCTGCCCAGGTAAACTAATCTATAACTATAGTTGAACTTCATATGAAATTATACCATTTATATTCTTTTTGTCTTGTTTCTTTCCCTCAACATACTGTTTTTGAGATTCACCATGTTATATGTATCAGTCATTATTTTCCTTTTTACTTCTGAGTATTCTATCATGTTTACAGATTATAGTTTGTTTATCCACTCATCTGTTATTAGACATTTGGGGTTTTCTAGTTTGAGGCTTTTATAAGTACAAATGCTATAAACATTCATGTAAAGGTGTTTCGTGGGCACATATTTTCATTTCTCTTGAGTAAGTAGGAGTGCAAGTGCTGGGTCGTGTATTAATTTATCTTTATAAGAAACTGCCATTTTCCCAAAGTGTGCCATTTTTCTTTCCTGCTAGCAACATCTGGGAGTTCAAGTTGCCTCACATCTTTGTCAATACTTAGTATTATGTGTTGTTTTGCTTTCTTCTTAGTTATCATAGTGATGTGTACTGGCACCTCATTGTGGTTTTAATTTCCTAAGTGAAGTCTTTTGATCAAGAATGTTCTTGAGGTTTTCTTTAAATTTTATACAGGACTGTAGACATGTGTACACTAATGGAAAATCATCTTTTGTATTTTAAACTTTTTTCTTTAGGTTTCTTTCAAGTGAATGAAGACAATAATTCAAAATGCCTGAAAATCCTGCTACAGGTATACTGGCTATAATAATTCTACCACTAAATTAATTAATGATTCTAAATCAGAATATAAGATGGAATGTAACTTGTACTCTTATCTTTCTTCAAATAAGATAAACTGCAGGTCCTGCAAATTCTTGATCGCCTGAAAGTGAAATTGCAGGAGAAGGGTGACACATCGCAGAATGAGAAGCTATCCATGTTTTATGAGACACTGAAAAGTCCTCTCTTCAACCAGATACTCACACTTCAGCAATCCATCAAGCAACTCAAGGGACAAGTAAGTTGCCCGTCGGCGTTTTACATGTTCATATATTCAATCCAGCAAAGAAAGATAGAAAGGCATAAAGCTAGAGACAAACTGTCTCAAAATACTCTTACTTCAGCAAAGAGGTTGTGTTGGGAGTTGTGACCTGTGGGTATGGTAGGCATGGATAGTTTAAAAGTGTTGATAATAGATTATGTGCTTATCTTCAGAATATGGGTTTTATACATTTTTTAAATAAGTAAAGGTCAGATACTTTGAGAATTTTCAATAGTTTCTTCAAAATTATAAAGTAATTTTGAGCTTAAATATATTTTCTTCATGAGTCTTTTTTTTCTTTCTTTTTTTTTTTTTTTAGCAAGAAGTAATCATGCCCTTGTAGCATATCTATAATAATAAAAGTGTAATATGCTAATTGGACTAGATGTTCTTCCGGACAACCTTCCGGGGCTGCTAGGGAAGCCCTGGTCCTGGGTGCCAGAGAGAAGCCCGGGTCCCAGGTGTCAGACTCTTGCACAAATTTCGTGCATTGCCTCTAGTTATTTATAATTACCAAATAAATAATCAAATGTTATGGACAGTCTGATTAGAAAGTCCTTGGAAGCAATATACCTGGTATTTTAACATTTACATGTTTCCTCCACTACCTACAGCATAGAAGCTAAGCTTGAATAGTAGCTATCCTAAAGATTAAATTTGGGGATAATTTTAAATGTAATTGGAGATAATGGAGCAGAGTTAAGTGAAAATTAATAAAATTTAAGGAAAAAATGTTCTTTGCTGATAAACCAAAATGCTTGCCCATAAATATTTAGCAAGAGATTCTTTAAATAACTAGTTAAGGATTAAACAGTGCTCACAGGACTTTCTTTGAATTTCTTTCTCTAAGTCAGAATTCATACATAATTTTAGCATTCCCCATATTGACAGTTAGCTTTCTGTATTCCCTGGTCCTGGGATGAGCCCCATATCACAACAGTGAATGCTATTTGTAGCAATAGAAATTGGGAAAGGTCACTACAAATGTATCACTCTTACTGGACTAAAAGTGGACTTTACCTACTCCATGATAATCTTTTATATTTATATAGTTTTCTGTTTTTATCTACATACTCATATTTTATCCATTCAACTCTAAGTCCCTGTAATCCTTTTTTCCTATGAGTGCTCTCATAGAGTTTCTCCTGGTGTTGATTTTTTCTAAGAGGTCCTATTTACATTTGTGCTTTTTATTTAAAAATATATTTTATTGATTTTTTTTTATAGAGAGGAAGTGAGAGGGATAGAGAGTTAGAAACATCAATGAGAGAGAAGCATCGATCAGCTGCCTCCTGCACACCCCCTACTGGGGATGTGCCTGCAACCAAGGTGCATGCCCTTGACCAGAATCAAACCTGGGACCCTTCAGTCCCCAGGCCGACACTCTATCCAGTGAACCAAACCAGCTAGGGCTACATTTGTTCTTGATGATACCTTTATTCTACCGTGTTGGCACTCATATCAGCCAATGATATTTTAAAATCAACCCATTTCCCTGTTCCCCATAATTACAGGATTCTCAATTTTTTTGTACCAATGTTTGAGTGGCTCTGCAACTCATTTGCTACTAATTTTGGATGAGTTACTCCCCTGTGTGCCTCAGGTTTTTATTTTTTATTTTGTGTGTGTGTGTGTGTGTGTGTTTTGGTGTTGGTTTTGTGTGTGTGTGTGTGTGCCTCACTTTTTAAGTTCACAAAATGAAAAAATAATAGGGCAGTTGTAATATGTAAGTTTTGGTATTGTATTTTGCTCATAGCAAGCATTGAATAAATACTGTTATTGTTATTTTTGTTACATACTATCCAAGATCTTTTTTCTCCCCTTTCCCCCATGGAAATGTACAGATAAATGAAAAGGGCTCAGTGTCTTATATGCCTGTTTATGTATATATACTAGAGGCCCAGTGCACAAAATTCATGTACGGAGGGGGTGGGGGTGGTCTCTCAGCCCGGCCTGCACCCTCTTGCAATCTGGGACCCACACTGGGGATTGAGCCCGCAACCCGGGTATGCACCAGTGACCATACTTTTCATACAAGTGAAAGGCATCTTGCCAGGCTTCCCTCGCAGCACTGGCTTCATCCAGAAGGTCGTTGGGAGGACGTCTGGAAGGATGTGCAGTCTAATTAGCATATTATACTTTTATTATTATAGATCTGTGTATGTGAAGTGTAATGAACTGTTGTACATGCTGTTAACTTGAGGAAAGGATGGAAAGCAGGAAACAAGAACACATTTTCAGCTGTTAAACATTTGTGTAATACTAAAAAAAAAATTTATAGCCTTATAAATATACAAATTCATGTAACCATTACTTAATTTCTTTCACATGTATATACTTAACATGAAAATTACATGTGATGGGTAAAATATAATATTTAATAAATAGAAATAATTTGTTTCCTATAAGTTTCTGTTGATTCTCTTTTGTTTTTCCCTCCAACAGCTGAGTCATATACCTTCAGATTGTTCAGCCAACTTTGATTTTTCTAGGAAAGGTTTATTAGTGTTCACAGATGGAGCTATTACTAATGGGAATGTCCAGCGGTCCTCTAATAACTTGACTGTATCGGGGTTATTTCCTTGGACCCCTAAGTTGGGAAATGAAGACTTTAACTCAATCATTCAACAAATGGCACAGGTAAAGTTATATCTTGTCATTGAAATATTATGCTTATTTCTCCTGTTATCAGTTAAAAAAAAAATGATACTCTTTTTGCCTTAAAATGTGTTACGTGTTTTGTTTGCCTGTGTTTTTATATTGTTAGGAGGAATTGATATTTCTTAATCTCTGTGTTAAAAATTTATTGGCTTAAAATTATATAAGGAAATATCTATGTGTGGTGAGGAGAGATTTTTAGATAATGACTCTAATTTGACACATCTTTACACTTGTAAGGAAAGAGATTTTTATAGTTTTGATCATAGGAGGAAAATTAATATGTTTGCAGGTGACACACCTCCATTGAAACTTTTTAATTTTATATCAAACAGATGTAATGGGAGTTAGAACTAACATAATTAGGAAAATCTATGGAAACATTTTAAGGAGTAATCCAGTTTTATCCCTAATACCTATTAAAACTTAAATAACAGTTGAATTTTAGGATATGTTTAAAATTTTTCACTTTGTCTTCTAATGTGTCTTAAAAATGAAATGACTTTAAAGGTTAAAAAGAATCTGTGTAAGGTGTGATAATTAAATAATATTCTTTATCTAATTCCTTTTTTTATTTTAGAGTTCTGTTCCCTTATTTTGACCAATAATTATTTGTGTAATGCTTTTGTGAGTCATGACATTTATGTAGTCCAAATGCGGTTATTAACAAAAAAAAAAAATACTTATTTGTCATGTGTAGAACACATTTGATTGGTGGCCTTTCCATACTTTTTAATTAAAATAGAATATTCATTAAAATAGGGTATTCATTCATCACAATAAAATTAAAAACAAATAATGCATCTGGTTCTGACTTAGGCTAACCATCAGCATATTTTTGATACATCTAATTTGCTTTCCTTGTTTAAAAATTTATTTTGCATCAAAAGAATTTAGATAAATTCTGTATGGAAAAAACAGTTTAGAATTCTCTAAAGGACATGAGTATTTTTATCCAGCTGAGAATTTATCTCATAATGTGAATGAAATGTGAAATCACCTCTTCTATTCCCTGAGGTTTCAGAATGCTGCACATTCCCTCTTTATGTTCTACTGAAAATAATCAAGTGAGAAGATTTCCAGAAACAACTTATTACTGAAATTCTGAGTTTATTTGGTTTTATAGAGGTGACCTGGGAGAAGCTGTTTTTGTGCTATTCACAGAATGGCAATTTCAGTTCTTTGTTAAATGTACTTCACTGACTTTTTCAAAAAATTCTTCTTGTTTAGGGCCGGCAAATTGAATATATTGATATAGAACGTCCTTCAACTGGAGGCCTTGGATTCAGCGTGGTGGCCCTTAGAAGTCAAAATCTGGGACAAGTTGATATCTTTGTGAAGGAAATACAGCCAGGAAGCATAGCGGACAGGTGAGAAAGATGCTCATGTTGTGCTTTGCTAATTTTTTTTCCTGATAATTCTGAGAACACTGTTATAAAGAGAATAAGAAACTAGTAATAAAAATAGTAACAATGGCAGCTAATACTTAACTTTCCTTCTTCCTGTGCATTTGTCAGGCCTTTTGCAGATATTCTCACATAGACTTGTGGCAGCCTTCTAGCTACTGGTATGCTGCTCCATTTTATAGATGGGAAAGCTGAGTTTCAGAGAGACTCAGTGATGTACCAATGGCCACAGAGCTATAAATGCTGGAGCCATATGTGATTCTAAGATCCTCTGACTGCAAAGCTAGTATCCTTTCTATCTCACCACTCACAATTGAACATGGTAGCTTTAGCTCAGGTCTTATCAATAAGATGGGATCATTGAAATTCACATTCTGTATGCTGTGTTGTTTATTAAACTTAAGATTATAACAACATTTTGTTGGTTATATTCTATTTCACTTTCTTTGATTAAAAGCCTCCTCAAGGCTATGTGATGCCCCTCTATTGCACTTATGCCTTTGTTTTATTTTTTTATTTTATTTTATTTTTTAAAATATATTTTATTGATTTTCTACAGAGAGGAAGGGAGAGAGATAGAGAGTTAGAAACATCGATGAGAGAGAAACATCGATCAGCTGCCTCCTGCACATCCCCCACTGGGGATATGTCCGCAACCCAGGTACATGCCCTTGACCGGAATCGAACCCGGGACCCTTCAGTCCGCAGCCCGACGCTCTATCCACTGAGCCAAACCGGTTTCGGCCTTTGTTTTATTTTTTAAGGGGTATGTGCAAGCCTTATATTTTGTCTTTATTTGATTTCAGGTTTTTAGTTTATTATTCATTTTAAAAGCACACTATTCATTATGTTCTCCATTCATGAGAGATCAATTCTAGTCTCTCAGAAAAAATGTATTTCCATGGCTTTGTATCTTTGTTCTTCCATCTAAGGCAGCATTTCCTCAAGCGTATTCTGAGGAAGCATAGCAGTGGTCAGATATCTTTGAGAAACTCTATTCTGTTCTTGGATATTGGATGTATATAGCTAGAATAATCATATAATTTGTTGTCCAAGTTGGGACAGTTTTGGTAGTGAGACGGTGTGCTATTAATAATGACACTGACACAGCAGGTGTATCTTAGGACTATGGGTCACTTAACATTAACTTACTTAAGGCTGTGAAGTTCCTTAACAGAAAACTTATTTAACTTTGGCCCAACTTAAAAACATTATTTTAACTTAAAAAAATTATTATTGGACAAATTGATGGTTGCCAGATGGGAGGTGGGTTGGGGGCTGGGTGAAAAAGATGAAGGGATTAATGAGTACAAATTGGCAGCTGCAAAATAGTCATGTGGATACCACATAGGGATTATAGTCACTAATATTAAAATTACTATGTATGATGGCAGGTAGGTACTAGACTTATCAGGGGGATTACTTCATAAGTTACATAAAATGTCTGACCACTATGCTGCACACCTGAAAGTAATATAATATTAAATATCAGCTATAATTGAAAAATAATTTAAATTTAAAAATACTATTGGGATATAATTCACATAACATTCACATAAATGTTACCATTTTGTTTTATTTTATTTTAATTTTTGTAGTCCTCATCTGAGGATATGCTTATGAGAGAGAGAGAGAGAGAGAGAGAGAGAGAGAAACATTAGTGTGAGAGAGAACATCAATTGGTTGCCTTCTGCACATGCCCTGACTGAGGATGAACCCACAACCTTACAGTATACAGGACAATGCTCCAATCAATTGAGCTTCACCAGCCAGGGCAAATGTTGCCATTTTGAAGTGTACAGTTTAATAGTTTTTAGTGTGTTTTTAATAGTCAATCCTTTTTGTAGTTAATCCTTATGTTTCAGTCACTCTGTACTAATTAGATCTGTAATTACAAATGAGGTGAGCACGTCCAAAAAGAGGAGTTTGATACTTGAGCGAGTAAAGAACCCTGACCAAGGAGTCAGGTGGCCTCCCAGAGGCATTGGTCCTTAAAGGGACATTTGAAGGGAGACAGTGAGGTCGTCAGAGAGCAGAAGAGGAATGAAGAGACTTTCTTGACAAGTAGCCCTATCAAGTGATGAAACATATCATAACATAAATGTTACCATTTTGTTTGGACCATATAATTGGATCATGAAACATATTCCTTGTCTTTAGAATGTGGCTGAACTAGTGTGGGAGCTCAGTGCAAGACGGTGAGAGAAGGGACAGGAAAACAGGCCTGCCATGCAGGCCCTTCCACATCATATTAAATGGTCTTGGTAATCAGTTTTTCCTTTGTTCTCAGGACACTCCCCGCAGAACTGTGTTATGACTCTTAAGGTCATGGAAATCTATTATTTCTTTTTTAGGGTTTTTTTGTGGGTTTTTTTTTTTTTTTGCGTCTATTGATATGACCATGTGATTTTTGTCTTTCAATTTGTTTATGTGATGTTTCATGTTTATTGATTTGCAGATTTCTGAATGTTGTGAGGGATAGGCAAGAATTAGGCTCCCCTTGAATGGAAAGTGTAAATATATGTAGTATGGGGAGTTAAATTATAAATAATAGTAGCTGGGGATGTAAAGTACAGCAGGGGGAGTATAGTCAATAATGTTGTAATAACTATGTATGGTGCCAGGTGCCAGGTGGGTACTAGACTTATCAGGGGGATCTCTTTATAAGTTATGTAAATGTATGTCTAACCAGTATGCTGTACACCTGAACCTAATATAATATTGAGTGTCAACTGTAATTGAAAAAATTTAAAAAAAACTTTGAAAGAAATAAAAAGTAGCTGTAAAAACTAATTAATTCAACTTTTGAATGCATCAGAATCATATTTTCCAGAAACTAGAAAATCTGAATGTGAGTAAATTAAGGACCAATTTATGCCAAATTAGTTACATCCGGCTTGAAAAGATTCAAGAGCAACTCATTCACTTGGGATTAATTAAGAAATTTCTCCATTGGAGTTGGGGAAATGGAAGTGATCACATTTAAAAAGAAGTGTTTCTTTAGGACCAGGGAAAAATTCATAAGTGACATTGCTCCTTAACAAAATTTTGCTGAATCTGGTGTGACCTGAGAAAAATAAGGGCAATGTACTGGATTTTCAGAATTCAAATTTATGAATTAGAATTCTCTGTTTTGAGGTAAATTCTTTCTCTGGGAGATTTTTGTATTTTGAAGGCTAAAAATGTATTTTTTAAATGAAATAATCATGAACAAGAGTTTTTTTGTTTTTGTTTTTTCCTGTGCCTCTCTTTTTGTTGGTCAATAAACATAGATAATTAGCAAGTATTTTTGAGTTGGCATATACCAGCGCAGGAGAGCCTACAAGAATAAACCTTGAGGAATTTTGCAAGTTAGGTTTCAGGTATTACATAAGGATCTCAACTGGAGGGTTGGCACTGGGAATGAAAGAAGGGGTGGGTAGATGCAAGAGAGATACACAAGGACAAGGAAGCATTGCAGTAATAATGGGGAAGCAAGAAGAGGAAGAGTGGTAGTTGGGAGATAATCAGGTCAAATACAGTAAACCAGGACAGAGTAAATCTGAAGTAGTCTAAGGATGCATTGCATTTCAGAAATCAAAGAATGTGCTTTAATCAGGCTACTTAACTAAGACACTAAGCTTGTTCTAGGCTTCAATTTTGGGCCTATACATCATTTCTGGATCATAATAGTGCTCAGTAAATATTGACCAGTAATGCCTTTTTTTTTCAAAAGAGATTTTGCTTTTTTCTTATTAAAATTGTCCTTTTTACCTTGGTTAGCTGTTGGGAGACTGGTGCTTAGAGGGAGAGAAGAGCTCAGAAACAGACTTAGAAGTAATGTCCGAGGACTCTCAAGGAGGGTTTGGCCTCTATCGACATGCTGGTGCGGTAAAGCAAAATGAAGTACTTCACTATACTGCTAGAGAAGAGGTTATTGATGAATTTGAGAATGTAGTTTCCCCAGTGTGGTAGATGTTGAAGGCAGATTGGACAGGGTTCAGGGGTACAGGGTTCATGCAGTTAAGGGTCTGTACTTGCAAAACCTTGGCAGTGAAGCCTTATGTATTGTTTTTGCTTATTTTTCTAGCCAGATAGCTTTTAAAATGTATGTGTGTTGAGATGTATTACTAAGTTGGTTAATGAGCTAATAAATGCTTTAAAGAAAAGCACTCTAAAAAGCTCCGTTATATAATTAAATAATTTGAATATATGTACTAAGTGAAGTAGAACCATTAAAAAAACTGTTTATCTTGAATAATAGACTTTTAAAAGTCAGGATCTTGTATCACTTAAAACAAAATTTTCTTTTATTTCACCAAGGGATCAAAGGCTAAAGGAAAATGATCAAATATTGGCTATTAATCATACTCCACTGGATCAGAACATTTCCCATCAGCAAGCAATTGCATTGTTACAACAAACCACTGGATGTTTGAGTCTGGTTGTGGCCAGGCAACCAGTCCACACAAAAAGCAGTACCAGCCTAACTGATACAATTCTGCCAGAAACAGTGAGTTGCAAATTTGGAAAAATACTTACTTTTGAATTATGCCATTGCTTTTCACACCCGGGGAAGGTGTCATTTGACTTGCCATAGTTTAAGAAAGGTGATCATCCTTCCAAATGCAGCATTAGCATAGAAAATAAGGTATTTTATGGAGGGTTTTTGTTTTGTTTTATTTTTTAAATGTCCTGTGATTCTCCGTATATAAGATTATTTTTTTAGCTATAGAGGGCAAATTTAATAGTAGGTATAATTTATTTGGTAATGGAAAGAGTCTTGTGTACCTTGGTGTTATACCCAGTTAATTAATTAAGCTGAGAGTTTTTATTAGAGATTTATTATTGAGTTTTTTAAGATTTGGTTATTTATTTCACAAACATTTCTGTAAATTACATGGGGTGTTTATAACTAGATTATTGATACTGCACAATGGTAGAAGTTTATCTTTTTTTTCATGTAAGGATGAAAACAGTTCAAAAGAATAAAATTATATGTCTCTTTTGGGAATCTTTAAACTTGCTTAATAGTATTTTACAGGTTTTGGCCTGCATCTTCAGAATGCAAGCTAATAAATCTTATTTTCTTATAACACTAAGTGCTAGCTGATTTATTTAATATTCATTCATTGGTACAAAAGAAAAAATAGACTGGGTACAGTACAAGGTCACAACACATATTAATGTATAGACATTTTCCCTGTTGTAATCAGTTAAATTTATATAGCACAATTTACATAATAACAGAATGAACCAAATGGGAAATTGCTTAGCATAGTGGTTAAGAATAGGGGGCTCTGGGTCAGGTTAAAGTGAGTTCAAGTCCAGTTCTTCACTTCCTGGCTGTGTCATACTGGGCACATTTCTTGACCTCTCTATACCTCAGTTTCTTCATCTGTTACTTGGAACTAATAACAGCATCTGCTTCATAGTGGTATTGGGAAGATTAAATGAGATTGCAAGTGGAGAGCTAAGCACAGTACCTAGTATATACTTTATGAATACCAGCTGCTATTAATTCAAGCATATTTTTATGCATATTTTAGCAAATTTTGTTGTATCCCAGGTACTAGATATTGTTTCAGGCATGAAGTTATTAAATATTCCCAATATTCCTTGTTATTTTCACATTGCATAGTAACTTTCCACTTTACCTATAATAGAAAAACTAAGTGGTAAGTATGCCCTATGGATCTTGAGAGGGAGAATTTTCTTCTGCAGTTGATTTATGGGAACTTGATGTATATTTCTGATGAAAGCCTGCTAATTAGAGGGGAAATGTCATGTCTCTTAGTCTGATTTGTATAATCCTAATGCTAATATCTTCAGTTGGGCCTACCTTTCCTCTTCCTCATAGGAGTTTATTAAATTAGTCTTATTGTCTTGTGTCCTTCTCATCATTTCCTACTTCACATTGCTGCCAGATTAATCTTCCTAAACCACTGCTTTGTTCTTGTCATTCTCTCTTCTAAAAACTTCAATTATTCCCACTTGCTTATTCAAGCCCAGCTTTGCCCTTACATTTTCTTTTTTGCTTGAATGTCTTTTTTTCTCAGTAGTGCAATCAAAATGCCACCTTTTCCTTGAAGCTTTCCATAATTCTTGATTAGATTTGACTTGTCTGCACCACTTCCCCCCAGTCCTTATAATACTTTGTGATTCTTTTTCAATTCAGATAAACATATATATGTTCCTTCCAGGTGCTGGACACTGCTAGATCCTGGGCATAGACTGAGGAACTGGATGTTTCAGTTCTAGAGCTACAGTGTCTGTGACCCCATATTCTGTCTTGTATTTTAATTATTATATTTTAGTTTGTCTGTCTCCTGGATTATGAAATCCTTAAGGGCAGGGATCATATGATGATCTTTACATACCTCTTAGCCTCTAGAAAATTGTCTGGATTAATTGTATGAATGTTTAGTTTGTTGTATATCTGTTACATTAGTAATTACTGTACCGGGAAGCTAAGAATCTGTGTGTTCTACTAACACTTTGGCTCTTGCCATTAATTTGTAGGTTCGTTGGGGCCATATCGAAGATGTTGAGCTCATTAATGATGGCTCTGGATTAGGTTTTGGAATAGTTGGAGGGAAATCAAGTGGTGTGGTTGTGAGGACTATTGTTCCCGGAGGATTAGCAGACCGGGTAAGTTGATCTTTTTTGTTTTTATTTTGGTTTTATATAATTTAAATTGTATGGCTTGAAATATAACTTTATAATGTGGGTTAAAATCAGAAGGTACAGTGATTATAAATAGTTGTCTCAATTTATGCGGTAAATTTTACTTGAATTAAAAAATTTTGGCATTGTCAAACAAATGACTACACTTTATTATTTAGCACTGTTTGAACTGAAAGTGGGCCTTTTAAAAACTTACCAACTGTTTCTGCTTAGTTTTACATTGAAGAAAATATTAAATATATTTTAAAAAACCTTTAGTTTTTGGAAATGAACTTAGAAATTTGGTTATGACGCCACTTAATAATGAGCCTATATTATATAGAATGTTCATCATCACAATAATATGTAAATTTCACTGATTAAATTGCAGTTATATACACATTTATCCCTTCTAATAAACATATATAAAAATAAACTTGCTATGCAAATGCAGTTTGAGGCAAATTCAGCCGTTCCCCATTTCTAAGCCAGCTTGCTCCCCATGTTGTACTAATTGTGGAGCTACTAATATTTCTATTATACTTTTAGAATCTACCTGCATTTATTTAGAGCAGAGACCTGTCAAGGTCACTGTGTCTTGCAGAGGGTCAACAAGATCAAAGCAATTTTTTATTTTTGCTGTTAATCTTCACCAGAGGATATTTTTTTCCATTGATTTTTAGGGAGAGTGTAACGGGGGCGGGAGCAAAAGGGAGAGAGAGAGAAACATTGATGTGACAGACACATCGATTAGTTGCCTCCACACGTGCCTTGCTGGGAATCGAACTCACAACCCTTTGGTGTGCAGGCCAATGCTCTTAATCACTGAGCAACAGCAGCTATTAATACTAAGATGCTATTAGCTCTTTCACCATGTTGAAATTTGCACTGATGATACAAAAGCAGTGGCAGACTGAAACTGCTGGTTCCTTAGTGTGAAACAGGCAGTGGCATCAATCTGGACTAGCAGTCGTCTTATTCTTCTCCACCATGTGCTTGCAGCAAAAAAGAAAAAAAAAGGCCAGTTTCACTTAAGAAAGTGCAATGGCAATTATTAATTTTGTACATTTTAACCTTTAAGTGCACATGTTTTTAATATTGTGTGACAAAATGGGATGTACCATACAGCACTTCTGCCATATACTGAAGTATGATGGTTGTTTTGCCTTAAAAACATTTGTAAGACATAGTATCCACTTTTTAAATATTAAACAGCCTTTTAATCTTTAAATTTTGTTTTATTTTAAAATTTGGGCCCTTATTAAAAAATTTGAGATGCAATTAACATTCAACATTGTATAGTTTCAGGTGTACAATGTAATAATTTAATATTTATATGTGTTGTGAAATGATCACCACAGTAAGTTATCCATTACCATATATAGTTTTTTTCCTTATGAAGAGAAGTTTTAAGAGATCAACCAAAGGACTTGTATGCATGCATATAAGCATAACCAACGGACACAGACAGTAGGGAGGGTGAGGGCATGTGCTGGGAGGCGGGAGCGGACGGGGAGAGGTCAATGGGGGAAAAGGAGACATATGTAATATTTTCAACAATAAAGAATTTTTAAAAAATAAAATATATAAACAAATAAAATCTATTCTCTTAGCAACTTTGAAATATGTAGTACAATATTATTAATTAGAATCACTATGCTATATATTATATTTTGTAGCTGGAAATTTGTACCTTTTGATCTCCTTCACCCATTTTGTCTCCCCCCGCCGCCTCTGGGAACCACCCTGGAACAGTATTTTCATTTTTTGAAAGAATATCTGACAGAAAAATTATGATCATTCAGACTTGGGTATTTGACAGATGTTTTCTTGAAAATGAATGAAGTGAGCCTGTTATTTCAAGGAAAACAACTGAGAGCATTTGCTAATGATTATGAAATTTGAACTTTCAAACGCGTTAGAATTTTGGAAAATTTGTGCTTTACTGTGCGCTTGAATGTTTTCAATATTTAAAGAGTTCTGATTAGATTGTTGGTGATATTAATATTTTGTAATTAAATATGTCACTATTTGGAAGGTCTTCATAGCTCTGTGAATCAGTATTTTCTGAAGACCAATGTGTGATATGACAAAATAACATATAGGTAAAAGATCCATTCAAGATAGATCAGTAGATATGAATGAAACTGTTTGAAGGTTTCTTGGATGTATTTCCTGATTCTACATGGCAACTGTTCTTTAAGAAACCACCACTTGTGGAGCTCTGCTGTATTATCAAAGAAGAATGGGTTGAAAAGGCTGTTAAAACACGTCTCCATTTTCTAACTATGTATCTGATTGAAGCCAGATTTTTTTATATACCTCAACCAAAACAACATATTGCAACATATTGAAAGCTGAAGCAGATAGGAAAATTCAGCTGTCTTCTTTTAAGCCAGACATTGAAGAGATTTGGAAAAATAATTTAAAACACCACTCTTCTCACTAGTTTTATATAGCTTTTTAAAGAATAAAAAATATATACACCAATATCATATATATTAATGTGTTAAGTATGTAAAATCAGAGCACTGTTTTCTAATTTAGTAGATAGTAACAGATATCGAGGGAGAGATATCAAAAAGCTCTTCGAGTTTCTGAGTAATATTTGCAGTATAATTGATACATAATAAATTGCACATACATAAAGTCTACGTTTTATTAAATTTTGACATATGTATGCTGGCAAGTCTAAAATCTGTAAGTCAGGCTAGTAGGCTGGAAACTCAGGCAAGATTTGATGTTCAGTCTGAACTTTGAAATTTGTAGGGAGGTTAGCAGGTTTTCTGTTACAGTCTTTCAGCAGAATTTCTTCTCCAGGAAACCTCATTTGCTTTTGTTTGTGTGTTTGTATTGATCTCAGAGAGGAAGGGAGAGGGAGAGAGTGATAGAAACATCAATGATGAGAGAATCATTGATAGTCTGCCTCCTGCACGCCCCACACTAAGGATTGAGCCTGCAATCTAGGCATGTGCCCTGACCAGGAATGGAACCTGAGATCCTTCAGTCCATGAGCTGACACTCTAACCACTTAGCAATCTGGCCAGGGCGTCCTTAATAGTTTTTAAGAGTACAAAGGGGTTCTAAGACCAAAAAGGTTGAGAATGGTCATTTTGTGGGTCCTTAAAACACAGCCGTGGCACAAAACAGTCATCTTTGAGGATTTTTTGTAACTTGGAAAGGAATGAGAAATTGTGGAGTATTTTGAAATCCTTTTTCATATCCTTCCCGCCCTCTTTGCCAGTTTAATAGGCTTGGTTGCTGGAGTAACATTTTTCAAGATGCAAAGTGGAGCGGTTATTGTGGAAAACAAAGGGTCAATTAAATTTAGAAAACACCAAGTTAAATAAAATCAAATAGGTTCCTTACTGTAAGAATTTTCTGAGCTTTCAATATCCTAATGTGTGTTATGAATTTTCACAAGGAGAATATAATGTGCAGTTTCCCAAATTAATCCCTTTGGGACACTGTTGGGAAAAGCCCAGGTCTGATTTTTCACCCTTACTGGAAGGGATTGTCACTGTTTTAGGTCATCAAGGAGTGGGTAGGGGTGTGCCTCTCAGAGTCCTAATGGAGAAGCAAGTGTTTATGCCAGACATTGTTTTTAAGAATTATTCTCATATAATCCTTAACACAGTCATAAATCTTATTCCCAAATTATAAATATGGAAACTTAAGAAATTGCCCAAGGCTACTTAACTGGAAAATGACAAGGTCAAGATTGAGCCCGCAACTGTTTAACTCTGAAACCTGTGCTTTACTTCCTAAATCTGTTTATTCAAAGTTGGCCTTAATGTTGTTGTTTTTCCTGAGGTGCACCTATCCGGGCATGGTCATACCTACGTATCATCAGGGAATAGAGCCAGCTGTAGGCACAACAGATTCTTGACTCTTTCCTGTAGGGATTATGGTGAGACCCAAACAGCAGTATTCACTTCTCTCTTCCATTCACCTCAGCTAACGTCAGGTAGAATCTCTTCAACCGACTCTGCATTGTTGCTAAGTCTTTACAAGTCGTTGCTCATGTAGCCTGATCACAGCTTTAAAAAAATTAAATGGAATATTGCTTTTAATTAAAACATACTGAATATACAACCTTCATGGTAAGGGAATATGGATGTCTTAGGTCATTAGTTCAGATGTGATCATGATTGACCTTAAAGACATACCTACATTCTGCTGAAGGGATTAATAACTACCACTTTTTCTCAAAGAATATAAAATTGTATGACAGAAAGTTAGAAAAAGAAGTCAGTATTTTTTTATTTCAAAGGGTTTCATAAAACAGACCCTTATGTTTCATTTTGTGTACATTTAAGTCAATATGTGTAGTTAAAAAAGGATATAGAGTTGAGGGGATGCAGCAAAGAACACTAAACTGAGGTTACTGTGGCCTGAAGAGGCATCAGAATTGGATGCATTTGAGGACTTGCTTTGCTGTAAGCAAGGTACTAGCCTAAGTATTTTATATATAGTATTGAGTGTAATGCTCACAACTCAATGGGAAAGGAATTTATTCCCATTTGTTTAAGAGGGAGCTGAGATTTAGAATTGACCTCTGGCCACACAGCTTGGTCAAAGTAGAGCCAGGATTGAACTTGGGTGTGTCTGACTCCAGTGCCCTTACTCGACCTTCTGTCTACTGCCTTGAATATCATAAAGTAAATGAAATGGAAAAATATTGATTCATAAGAGTTTAGAAGCATTTATTGGAATCTATCTACAATAACCTATCAATGTAATCAGGGCCGATTCTATAGATAAGGAAAGTATATGTATAGTATCATGTAAGAGGAGCTGAAAGAAGTAACAACCTCCTATAATCTTCAGACACTCTCAAAAATCCATGGTACCTGAAGCACAGATCTTGCGAGAATTCTCTTCAGTTATGGCAAAAATTTAAAAATTTTTCAGCAGCTGGAAGTTTTTCTTAAAAAAAGTTTCTGCCCTAGCCAGCTTGGCTTAGTGGATAGAGCGTCAGCCTGCGGACTGAAGGGTCCCAGGTTCGATTCCGGCCAAGGGCACCGAAAAAAAAAAAGTTTCTAATGGGCAGTATAAAACAACTTTGTTTTGCAGAAATCTCTTTCATGTGGTCTGCAGTAATTCTAGGCAAATCAGGGACACTGAGTTACCCCCTTGTCTCCACAAGAGGACTCTTAAAACTCAGCCCCTTTAAAAGTTGTCATGAATTATTGACTCTTTGGTATGAGGCAATTATAGTATGAGTCATAATAACTATCTAGTAAACTTTAATACTAGGAAAATAATATCACCAAGCAAGGACTTGGAGGGTGGGTGTGGCCCATGCGGAATTTTCAGTCTAGAAAGGGCAAGGGCCAGCTTGAGGCCACTAAACAGCTGATTATTCCCAAGCCATTTTGTTTAAGTGAGTCTAAAAACAGATATTTCTTTATCCTTAAAAAATCAGTGGATGAGAGCTCTGGGAATTTGACTAGGGTAGGAAAGATATACTTAAATTTAGTACCTTTCTTTAATTCCTTAGGGGAAAGAGATTTTATTTTATAAGGTCACTACTTTCTGTCAATGACACGTTGCCTTTTGATCAAAGACCAGTGATAAAAGCAGCCTTGAATCAAAAGGAGTAATGATTTTATTTTTTGAGTTGTGGAATTATTTGGTGCTATTTTTTAGTTTTTGAAGAAACAGATTTGATTTCTTTATTTCTTTTATAGAGCAGGCCTGAATTCCTTTAGTTTTCAAATACTTTTGTTTATTTTTTTATTTTAGAGAGGAAGTGGGGGAGAGAGACATTGATTGGTTACCTCCCTTACACTTCCCAATCAGGGATCGAACCCCCAACCTAGATATGTGCCCTGTCCAGGAATGGAACCTGCAACCTATTGGTGAATGGGATGATGCTCCAACTCATTGAGCCACCCAGCCAGGGCATAGGTGTTCAAATATTTTTTGAATTGAAGTTATTATTAACAATAGCCGAACTTAAAATGCAAAGTTATACACACACACACACACACACACACACACAAACACACACATGCCAATAACTGCTAAATTGGATTAAAGTATATTTTACAAACTCTAAGTGATGTTATGCCAATAACTGCTAAATTCGATTAAAGTATATTTTACAAACTCTAAGTGATGTGTTAGTGCTTTCACTATAATAATGTGGTACCCAGTTATGTCAGCTCTTTTAATATTTATGCCTCCCATACTATCTTTGCCTATATGCATCATGTTTTTTCTCTTTTGAAAAAAATCTATGGGTTAATAAACATTTTTGTTGTTTGATTAGCATACACTTTGAATCTTGGCATAGCAATTTATTAGTTATCATTGATTTAGGACTTCCGTTAAAATAACAGAAAGGGCTCTAATGCCTTTTAGTTTCCTTACACATAGACAGGTTATGGAGGGAGAATGATCAGAAAATATTAATAAAATGCAATATTTGGGGATGCTGGACATAAACAAGGTAGCTGTCATTTTGTTATCTTTCCTATCAATCTAATACTATTTTTACACTTATGAATTCCCTACAACACCTGTTTTTCTGGAAGCAGAAAATGTTTGACTTTCAGTGACAGGTGCAAATTATCTCTATCATTTTAGGTTGAGTTGAGGTAAAATAGGAAAAGCAATAGTGCCGAGGAAGTGATTAAATATGACTTGTGGTGAAGTGTCCTTCTTTGGCCAAGCCAAGTATGAAAACACTTATTTGACAGATTCTTTATTCTTTTGGTCAGGACATGATTCTGTTCAAGGATGGTTCGATTCACAGAAGCTGTTTTACCCTTATTTTTCATCATGACCACTGACTTTTTCTTTAGTAGTTGTTTTATTTCAAGTTTGTTGCATTGATAATAACAGAATATCAACTTACCAGTGCTTAAAGTAGAAATCCATCAATTCTTTATCCCTTTCCCCATAATTATTTCCTCCTTGCATCTATTTCTTTTCTCTGAGTCTTTTCAGTTCTTAGGCTGACAATTTTTTTTTTCCTTCACACCCCACAACAAGCTTAGGAGAGCCTGTGGACAATTCATTAAAAATACATCTAGAACCTCACTTCTCAACACCCCAACTGCTAACCTAGTCTAAGCTATGGTTATCTCTTTCTAGATTATAGCTTTACTAACTGGTATCTCTGTTTCTATTGTTTTCTCTCCTATAGTTTTATTTTCCGCACATAGGCTTGAGTGGTCTTGTTAAAACTAAGTCAGGTAATATCACTGCTCTGCTCAAAGCACTCAAATGAGTTCCCTTCCTACTCAGTTGGAGCAGATGCACTACACTGTGACTGACCCTGGTCATGCTCTCATCTCTTCTTTGACTCCTGTGCTCTTTGCTCATTCTGTCCCAGCCACACTGACACCTGCTGTCCCTCAGACATGCCACTGACCTTGTTGGTCTTCAGAATTTGTACCTTTATGCTTCTGATCTGACCTCCTTCCTTTCTTGATGCCCAGGGCTTTCAGACCTCTTCCTTGCATATGTGGCCATTAATACCCTGGCTCTAGGCCACTGGGCATGAAATGATACCCTCAAGCAAATACCTGTTTTAGAATTTTGGTTACTCCTCCTTTTGAACTCTCCCCTGCCCCCACCCCCCCTTTTTTTCCTCTTTTGCAAGGATTTCTTTTTCTCTGTTGCCAATTCAACCATTCATTTAAATATTATATTTTATTCAGCATTTTTAGATGTCTTCTTTGCCAGCCATTTTGCCACAACGCAAAGTCTGATGAATTGCTATTAACTAGTGAAGTTAGATCATTGATTTCTCAGAATAATTTTGTTTCTTTCTTGGATTAAAGGATGGAAGACTCCAGACAGGAGACCACATCTTGAAGATTTGTGGCACAAATGTGCAGGGAATGACCAGTGAGCAAGTTGCACAAGTGCTGAGGAACTGTGGGAATTCAGTCAGGATGCTAGTTGCAAGAGACCCAGTTGGTGAAATTTCTGTAACCCCTCCGACCCCTACAGCCTTACCTGTTGCCCTGCCTGCTGTGCCTAACAGGAGCCCTAGTTCTGTGAGTACATAAATTATTCTTTCATCATAAATCAAGTACTGGGTGTGACACATTGTAAGAGTAGAAACACCTTCTACTTGAAATGCCACGCTGGTGTGAGGAGTGCCACAATGCCCACAAGTGAAGCAGCAGAAGAGCCTAATTTGGAGACACTGACAAGTTTGATTTTCATTTTTGCTGTTTCTCAGGGTTAAGTCATTCCACCTCTCTGAGCCTCAGCTACGCATCTGTAAATTGAAGAGAAATAATTCTTGCCATTTCTATTTCGTTAGATTGGTGAGGAGACATCCAGATGGTGGAGTGGAAACTAAAAACTGATCAATTGTATGACAGTTGTCACAGATAGGAACAAATTGGCCAAAGGAAGTAAACATTAATAATAATAATATTTATTATGATTAATAATAATCATTATAGTTATATAGTAACAATCATTATTATTAATTGTTGTCAAGTACCTGGAATTGTTCAGGTCATCTGAATTCCTCCCAAGAATTCTAAAAGATAGGTCTTACCATTCATTTAAAGATGAGGAAACAGAAGTCCAAATAAGTTGTTAAAGGTCATATAAAGAGTCGGTGGCAGAGCTGGGATTAGAATTCAGGTCTTCCTCGTTCATTGCAAGCTCTTTCAATTATCTCATAAGCTTTGAATCAACAAGGTAATTAGGTAAAAGGAAAGATGGTTTTTTAAAGGGTGGGGCCCGGAGGAAGAGAAAAAGAGGAGTGATTATTGTGAGAAGGAGGTTGGAAAGCCACTTTCATCTTCATCTAAAGGGGCATTTGGTGTCTTCTGTGAAGTTATTTGCCTTTGTAGTGAGGGAGCAGTGTAACTGTGGGAAGTGAGAATTTGTTGCAATCAGTTGTTTGCTTTCTACTCTTAATGTTTTGAACTGACAGCAAGGCATTATGTTTTTAGATACCTTACTCTTTTACAGAAATATCTGAAATTAGAAGACAAGTAATGAAAATAAGTTTTAGGTCAATAATTTTTGCTCACAATGACTATTACAGTAATTAGCCATTAAAATTTTTTTTTATTGATTTTAGAGGTGAAGGGAGAGGGAGAGAGAAAAACATCAGTGATGAGAGAGAATCATTGATTGGCTGCCTTCTGCACGCTCCCTACTGGGAATTGAGCCCAAAACCCAGGCATGTGCCCTGATCAGGAATTGAACTGTGACCTCCTGGTTGATAGGTTGACTCAACCACTGAGCCATCGTGGCTGGGCACAAAAATTAGTCTTACCATTTGTTTCTACAATTTTCTTTACATTTACTTCTTTCACATAGAAATTAATCCTGAATTTTTTTCAAGTTGGCTGTATTAGTTTTCTATTGTTTTGTAACAAGTAATCACAAACCTAGTGGCTTGAAACTACCCTTTGTTAGTTCACAGTTCTATAGGTCAGAAATCTGCATGGGCTTGGCTGAGCTGTCTACTTAGATTCTTACAAGGCCAAAATCAAGGTGGGGGCTGGCTGGGCTCTAAATTTGGATGCTCTGGGACAATCCATTTCCAAACCTATTTAGATTGGTGACAATGCAGTTCTTTGCAGTTGTAGGACTGAAGTCTCTTTGCAGGCTGTCAGCTAAGGGCATCTTTAAGGCCCCCTGTATTCCTTCTCACATGACCCACTCCATCTTCAAACCACGAGTCCAGTCCTTATACTTCAAATCTTTTTCACTTCCCTTTCTGCCACCAGTGGGAGAAAACTCGGCTTTCGAAGGGTGCTTGATTAGATTAGGCTCACCTGGGTAATCTCCCTTTTGCCATGTAATGTGACAAACACAGAAATAACACCAGGGGTCAAAAGTCAGGACCATCTTAGAATTCTGCCTATCATAGGTGCTAAAGAAATACTTGACAAGCCATGCACAAATTTATTATGAACGCAGTTATGTGACTAAACATTATGTATAATTACAATTATTTTTTCTTTTCAGGACAATTCTCTTTATGAAACTTACAATGTTGAGCTCATTAAAAAAGATGGACAGAGTCTTGGGATTAGAATTGTTGGCTATGTTGGAAATGCTCAGACAGGTAAATGAATCATTTCTATTTCATATTTGGAAATAGTTGTAAAGGATAGTAAGGTTTCTAGAGAGCAAAATTAAATACCTGCAAATTTTAACTCCTAGAGTGCTCTCAGTGCACTGGCCAAGGTTAAGATGGATATATTCTGAATAGTGTGACTCTTACATATTATGACATTTTACATGCGATAAAGTAAAATGACTATTGCATATGTTTCATATTATAAATGTCAAAAAGTATTACTATTATGTTTAATTACTAAAATAATAAGATAAAACAAATACTTCAATTAGGATTCTTTTCCTTTCATATAAAGGGACTACATTGTAAGAATAAATACATAGTTGGGTAGCTCAACTGGTTAGAGTTTTGTCCCGATATGTCAAAGTTACAGGTTCGGTCTCCAAAAGAATAAATACATGGCCTAAGTCTCTCTGAATAATAATACTCTCAGGGGTAGCCAGTCACAGCATGTGCCCAGGTTTCAGTCTTAATCCCCTGTAGGGGGCCTGCAGGAGGCGGCCATCGATGTTTCTCTCTCTCCCTCTCCCTTACTCTTAAATCAATTAAAAAAACATATATTTTTTTTAATTTTATTTTTTATTACAAAGGGTATTACATATGTGTCCATTTTTTCCCCGCCCTAGACAGTCCCCTAGCCTCCCCTATTCCCCAGTGTCTTATGTCCATTGGTTATGCTTATATGCATGCATACAAGTCCTTTGGTTGATCTCTTACCCCCCTACCTCCCACCCCCGAACCCTCCCTGGCCTTCCCGATGCAGTTTGACACTCTGTTTGAGGCAGCTCTGCCTCTGTATCTATTATTGTTCAAAAGTTTATAATGGTCTCAATTATCCATGAATAAGTGAGATCATGTGGTATTTTTCCTTCATTGACTGGCTTATTTCACTAAAAAAACATATTTTAAAATATTCATAATAATGTTCCCTCAATTCCTACATGCAAAGTTTTGGTAATCTTCACTGTAAGAATTACTCTATTATTAAAGGAAATTATTAGAGTAAGGAAAAATAAACCTTTTACAGATATCTTCTAGTAACATGAAAATTCAGAGTTATGAAATGTTATAGTTTTTAAAAAATAGCAAGATTAGAAAGTTAATTTTTCTGAAGTTATTTTATATACTTATAGCAGGTGGAAATATTAGAAGTGCTAATGTATTCAAAGTCCTGAATGAAATTCATGTCAGACCACCTTGTGCTATTTTAGCCTAATGAAATAACTATTTTCAAAACTAGCTTTTTCTAAGTGCCACCTTTTTTAGGTTCAGAATTTAAATGAGTTTCAAAAGAGCTAAGTGTCGCTTGTATAATAATGTTGCAAAAAAACTGTCAGTAGTTCTCACTATGCTGTCTGGTTAGAGAAATCATGGCTTGGTTCCTAAACTTTTGGCTTATCAACCTTTATTATCTGAAGTTTTCTTGTAAATCTCACACTATATATGCAGAGTAAAATGAAAGTGAGTAACAGATAGGGAACTGATAAAAATTAATGTTTATGTTACTGAATAAAGAAAAGATCATTTGACTTCTTTACCGTCAAAGTGTTTTTGGGATTGGAGGGGATGGGCAGTGGTAAATCCAAAAACTAGAACATTTGAAAACTCAATGTAGTTTTTCAAAATAATTCTCTTTATTCCATTCATTGGAAATTTTGAGCAGTTACTTTGCTTAGTTCTGGAGGAGGTAGAATAATGAACATAAGAAAAGTCTTGTCAGGGAGACAAACATGTAAATAACTCAATTACTCAATGATAAGTGAAATACAAGTTTTAATAGAGATGCAAGCATACTATCATGGTGGATAAAGGAGTCAATTGGACAGAAGGCAATGGAGAATTTACAAAGAAAGGCTTTTGTGCTAAACATGGAAAAGGAGAAGGACTTGAAACAAGGGGTGGGGTTGACAAGAAGAAAAAAAATGAAATGAGAAAAGGTCTAAAATCAAGAAAATATTTAGTGTTTTGGTGGAAGATCAAGAGTCTTGTGTGTCTGAAGTTTTGCCTTGTTGGAAGGATGAAGTAAAATAAATAAAAAAAGAAGAAGCTTGGGGAAGATTGTGATTCTGTGAAATTTACTTTTGTTATGTAGGTGATAGAAATCCATTGTGCTTATTTTTGTTCTGCAGATAATATTTTAAAATTCATTTGATATAAAAAAAATAAAAATATAAAATCATCCAGAGCTATGGATTTTCTTTGTCCAATTTCCCTCCAAGTCCTTGCCTGGCGGCATGCATATTTTTTGCATAGCTGTAATTTTTATATAGCCATATTTCCTGGTTAAATATTTTATTCCATATTATGAGGATTATTTCATGTTGCTGAGATTATTCTAGTTTTTTAAGACTGTGTGCCTCTCTTTTTTCTGTGTTTGGGGAAGCTAACATGACCAGTGAACTATGTATAGTCAGGAAGACCTGTTAGGAGACTTGTCATAGTACAGGTGAAAAACGTTGAAGGCCATGCCAAGTCCATTGAGTAGGGTGACAGACCAAGAGAAGAGGGCTCTTTGAATTACAGCTTATATTGGAGTGCATTTCCTCAAGGTTCCATTACTATTATTTTTCCAGAAATAGTCGTCAGTCAAATCATTTCAAATTCAGCTCACTTGTGAAGGTGACAGTTTGAAATAATCCATCAGTTTCTCTGCTGGTGTTCAAAATAGTATTTATCAAGCCTTCTGTCAGCCCTTTAGCTAATTAACCTCTTGATATGAATCTTGCAATCAAGGTCTAATTAGAGCTTTCTCCCTTTTTCCATATGTTTTGTGCACCTTAGGGGAAGCTTCCGGGATTTATGTGAAAAGTGTAATACCTGGCAGCGCTGCGTACCACAATGGACAAATTCAAGTGAATGACAAAATAATTGCTGTAAGTAACTGCACTGTTTAGAATTGAGTCAAGTTGGGGGGAAAAGTTATCTTTATTATAATATGTATGAGAGGGGAACGGCTTAATATAGTTTCATGATACTTTAAAAAACTAAATTTGTTAGTATAGTAAAATCTCATTAATTTGGACTCTTACGGGTCCTAAACTTGATTTTTCTTTTTTAAATGTCTGTGAAGAGTCACTTTATATTGGTAAGAAAAATATAATATATACAGATATATATTTAACTAGAGGCCCAATGCACAAAGATTCATGCAAGAATAGGCCTTCCTTCCCCTGGCTGCTGGCACTGGTTTGCCTCCGGTACCCAGGACCCGGGCCTTCACTCTGGCCACTGCCTCCTGCCTTTGTTCTGGGCTGGCGACTGCCATCTTTGTTGTGTTAATTTGCATATTCCCTCCTTATTGGCTGTGGGTGCTGCCATATTTGTTGTGAAGTGACGATCAATTTGCATATTCCATCTTTATTAGATAGGATAATAGATTCAGCATTTTTACATGCAGTCTCAGACAACCATGGGAAGTAGAAATTATGCCCATTTTATAGAGGAAAGAAGTTAAAGTTCAGAGTATGTATGTTAACAATACATTGTTGGGGTTGGCATTCCAACATAAGGCTCTCAATTTCAAATCCTGTGCTTTAACCATCCCATTATAGCAATCTGACAAGCATCAGATTTTCATAGTTTCATAAAACAAAACAAAAGTTCATAGCTGGTTATATATTTGCAGGTAGAGATCTGCTATCTAATTCACCTGAATATTTTTATGGCACTTGGAATTTTGAATAGCATCAGAAAATGAGACCCTTTACCTCTTAGGCTTAAGTTAAAATGTGTGATTTTAGGACTACAAGTTTGGATTTGTTTTCTTGTCTCTCAGGAAGTTTTTTATACTAATTTTGCATCCTTATTCAAATACTTTCTTAGGTCTAATAACTAATTATTTTGGGAATAAAATGAATTGCTTAATTTGATTCTATCTTGCCAGAATTTAAAATAGTAGCTAACTTGAAACCTGTTTAATGTCTTTTAGGTTGATGGTGTGACTATTCAGGGTTTTGCCAACCAGGATGTTGTTGAAGTATTACGTAACGCGGGGCAAGTGGTACACCTAACCCTGGTTCGTAGGAAGACATCCTCACCAGCTTCACCACTTGTTGAAGAGCCTCCACTGGTTGAACAGCCTTCAGACACAGGTAAAGGATTCCATTGTCCCTCTCCCCACTTTGTAGTATGGGTTAGAAGAACAGCTCACTGATGGAAGTTGTTCTGTGAGTCTGGGAAGGAAAAACGGCCCACCATGTGTAATGCAGTGATGGAGAAATGAATCAGCTCATCTGTCTGTGCACCGAATAGCTTCCTTTTCCTAATATAATGTGCCAGGTCAAATTTTAGAACATGAAGCCTGACTCCCATTAAGCTCTGGGAGATTCTCTAAAAGGAGATGGAAATCATTTTCTCTAAAAACTCCCAAATTTCATTCATTACTTACATTTGAATAATAAAGCATTGGCACCTTTTGTTCAGGAGCTCTCATTTGTCTAGTGCTTTGACATTTTGCAAACTTCAGATTTCATTTATTTCCAGTGATATATTTGATTCTAATCTCTCTCTATTTACCTTTTGAAATATAGCAAGAGAAAATAAAACCTGAATTTCTCTCAAGAACATTTTTATGTGTATAAAAATATTTGGTTTTTTTTTAGATTATATCAATAGTAAACGTTCCTTAGGAAACAAAAACATGATTGTATGCATGTCAATTTTTAATTATCAACTTATAAACGTATAGATCAACAAAATTCGATAATCACAGGGACACATCCAACTTACTATGAATGACTAGATATAGAACTAGTGAGAAAGGAATAATTCTATTAGAATTTATCAGGAGATGAGTACAGTTGTTTTTTTCCCTTCCTCTGAAGATATAATAAGCCTGGAAGCCTTTGCTTTCAACTGCTATTGATTTATATTAAATTGGAACTTTTTAAGTTTATGCAATAGTGGAAATTTTGCTGCTGAAAGACAGATGCCCTGTCAACTGCATTGTATGTATGAAATTTAAAATTGCTCAAATAGTACAAATTGTACAAATGCTATATTGACCTTAAAAGGTTTACATAAATATTTATATCAATATAATGGTTTTAATAGCTCTGATCTAGCCCTTGGCTTCAGTCTGCTATATCAAATAAAGTATGTCATCTGGGGATTAGCAATTCTCTTTTTTGAAAATATATTTTTATTGATTTCAGAGAGAAAGGGAGAGGGAGAGATAGAAACATCAGTGATAAGAGAGAATCATTGATCGGCTGCCTCCTGTACACCCCCCACTGGGGATGGAGCCTGCAACCTGGGCATGTGCCCTTGACTGGAATCGAACCTGGGACCCTTCAGTCCGCAGGCAGACACTCTATCCACTGAGCCAAATCAGCAAGGGCAAATTAGCAATTCTTTATTGGGCATGCCTACATTTTAAATTTGTATTGGGATAAGGTTTGGCTCTAAATCTGTACATCTTCCGCCATGGTTTGGGTGTCCTTACTGCGTGTTTCACTAGCACCCTTTGAAGAGCACTCTGTTGTACAGTTTATCACACGCCATTGTAATCACTTGTTTTTGTGTGGCCACTGTGTAGGAAGGGGAGTGGTTACAGCCTTGCCCTCTGGCCCATGTAACAAGGCTTGGTATACCTTCCACACAGCATTTAAGTCTGTTTTACTGAAATAAACTGTACAGCTTCTAGCTCTTGCACAATAGCTCCCTCTGGCATTCTAAATCCTACTTTTTCTCCTGTAAATCCTACTTTTTGTATACCTTATATAGAGGTGGGCAAAAATAGGTTTACAGTTGTGAGTATGCAAAAGTTTATTCTTATTTTATTATTTATTAATTATTGTATTATTTATGTTTTTCTTCTTATCATTGTTATTATTTCATATCCTTATGATTTACTAGAGGCCCGGTGCATGCAATTGTGCACAGGTGTGGTCCCTAGGCCTGGCTGGCGATCCAAGCGCGAGGGTCTGGGGTGGAAGGGCAGGTCCCAGCTGACCTCTGGGCCCTGGGTAGCATCTGGGCCCCTCGGCCCCCCCGTGCCCCCCTCCACCTGAGTCATCAGGCCCCGCCACCACCACTGGTTGCCATCTTCGGGGCAATCGGCAGGGTGATAGGGCCCTGCTCACACCCGCCTTGACCTGGCACCGCTCGCTCACCTGCTCCACCATCCTGCTGCGGTCCTGCTCTCATCGGGGCCCATCAGGGCCAGCAGTGCCTCCACTGCTGCCTGCTGGCAGCACCATGTTGCTGATCCCCGCCATGTTCCACACCGCCCCCTGGTGGTCAGCACACGTCGTAGTGAGAAATCGAACTCCCGGTCAAGGGGACAATTTGCAATTTGCATATTGGGCTTTTATTGTATAGGATTATATCAGTGATTTTCAACTGGTGTCCCACATGCAATACTTGACTATTTAGTCAGCAACACTGACCTCTCTTTCCTTAGATTTTTAGATAAAATAAATGACAACAGCCAAAACAGCAATAGCTGTCCAGTGTGAAGAAATCAATATTATACCTACTAGAGGCCCAGTGCACAAAATACATGCATGGGTGTGGTGTCTAGGCCTGGCTGGTGATTGAAGCACGAGCATCTGGCATGGAAGGGCAGGTCTCAGGTGACCAC